TTAACTATGGAAATTAATGATATCTCTAATTTAGCTGGAGTCATTGTAGCTTGAGGGGAAATAGCACGAGAGAAAGAAGCCCAATGAATATATTTGGGTCGTATACGTGGAGTGAGTCAATCCTGTTATTGAAGATATTGTGTGTACTTTAAAACCATTTTAAACGTCCACACGGACTTCATACATTACGTCTGCTGATCTGCTCACATTTTGAGGGTAAGATTGTTTACACAGAATATTTAATAAGCTTCGAGCTCCAATTCCTGGCAGCTTATGCTGAAACTTTGTGAAATTAATTGTGATCAACTGTAGATGAACCCATTAGAGAATTTAAATAAAGTGAACGTGAGATATAATCCTCGTGTTTAAAAACAATTTAGAAGACACAATTCTTGACATCGGCTTTTTCTGATCATCTAAGCCAGCTTTAGTTTTTAAAGAAGCGCGTTATAACCAAACTGAACAATATGCATGAATCTGAAGAATTTGGTAATAACCAAAAACTTGATAAAAAAAAAAAGGTAGAACTGATTGATTAATGCAAGTAATAACTTAATTGTCACAGTATATAGATGTCTTAATCTAATTAAAGTCAAGCATTGCCTGGCATATCGTAAGAAATTTAATTTTCTTACCAGCTTCCTGTTTATATGATCTCACGGATACGTATCCTAGCTTACGATGTAGCATCAGATTTGCAGGAGATGCTTCATGCAGTAAAAGAATTATCAGCTAACAGTTCTAGTTTTACTCATGACCTTAATTTCATTATTTATGGTAATAAAATAGTGTATGACCCATCCACACTTAACTCGGAATCATTGTGAAAATAAAAGTGCAATCAGTCTGCAGTTTGTGATCGACCTTGATGAACCTTGGCATAGTCTATATTGAGTTTTTTGATTAAGTTACAATGCTGTAATACTGTTTTTTGAGTTATTGCCCTACTTTTTGTCAAATAATACTCATCGATGCGATAAACGCTTAATAGATACTGTCCATTCGTGTAGCATCTTGCTGATGTAAAGTTCCAAATTGAAAATATCTTGAATTGAAAACACATTTAGTAATTGTCCTTGACTCACATAGGTATTAAAGTCAAAGAATAACCACTATGGAGACCTCGTTCATTGATGAATTTGGTTATATATGTGGATGCACTGCATACCAGAGAAGTTGGAATGCATCAGAATAATTTCAGAACGCATTCTGAAAACCTGAGTACATGTTTTGATTGTAGAGAAAAATTAGAGTGCAGTATGAAATGGAGGAATGTCCGATAGTCCTAACTTCGAACGCACAACGACCGGTCACAAAGAAGCACCAGGAATGCTGTCAGAACTTAGTCCACATTATTAAGCAATATTCAGAGATATTACTTTCCCCATTTCCAACTTTTTCCTCGTTTTGTCTAGTGTGACTTGTGTTTTAACGGGAACTTACACTTGAACTAAAAACTTGTCTCTTGCTCGAGTAAATGTTAATACCAAATTGAACATCATTGCCTTTCTGTCGCAAAAATATAATTTATTAATTTATCTGATCATGTAAACAAACGTATCTACATGTATTTAAAATTAATGGTTGGTGCAATGAAACATATAATCGACTCTTACGGTCTCCCGGTCAGGCACTACCGCTTTATCAGTCTTTTCCTTTGTACCCGGATATTTGTTCCAGTTATTGACTGTGTGTGTTGAGTCTAAGTCAAAATTGATGAGACCTTCACACACCGTTTATGAACATTTTATCTGGTTTCTGGAGACCGATTCAACATGGTTCATCATGCTAGTGAATTGAACCTAATACAAGGTTTAACTGCCAAAGTGAAACCAGGTGAAACTGTCGCAATCTCGTTTCAAGTTCCATCTGAGATGTCTCCTTTTAGTTTTACTGGTTGTATTATATATTTATTTTAGTATTCCTTCTCGGTAGATGTTGTTTATCCTTTCCGGAAAGGAAACCCATTGAGAAGTTTTATTGCTTTCGTCTCGCCATGATTGTTTCCACTATTATGTATAGTCAAATCCAGTTATTAAAAGGTAGCGTATATTCATTCCGATAATTCCCCCATTAGGGAAATTATTAAACGCTTTAAGATAGCCCACGCAGTCCATTTAAATTTAGTGAAGCAATTAACCATATGTCATTATATTATCTAAGTTCAAGCTTAAACCATTCAATTACCTCTGCGTACATTTTCCCTTTTGAGAAAAATACCTAATAATAGAAGTCAAGTAAGGAATGATTTAAACCATATCAAAGAATGTAATAGATTTGAACGGGCAAATTTGATTGGTCAATTACTTGGCTTATTCAAAGAGTTGCATTTACCTTTTGACAGTGTGCAACACATGCGTTATTGCATGTTGGTCAAATGTTGGAGAATTGTTGGCAGGTGTAGACAGAGTTGCATGTTGGTCAAATGTTGGAGAAATGTTGGCAGGTGTAAGACAGAGTTGCATGATGGTAAAATGTTGGAGAAATGTTGGCAGGTGTAAGACAGAGTTGCATGCTGGTAAAATGTTGGCAGGTGTAGACAGAGTTGTTGCATGTTAGTAAAATGTTGGAGAAATGTTGGCAGGTGTAAGACAGAATTGCATGTTGGACAAATGTTGGATAAATGTTGGCAGGTGAAGACAAGTTGTTGCATGTTGGTAAAATGTTGGCAGGTGAAGAAACATGCCAGATACCTTCCCGATTTTGTCGTAAGACTGTCGTTGACCAACAAACACTGGCAGATTTTTGGTTAGAAAAAAAACTTCTGCCTTAAACCTACAATACTGTTATTCGATGTACCAACGTACGCTAAGGAAAGAATGTCAGATTAACAACTCCATATCAGTGGTTCATTTTACTTTGACCATTGACTTAGCATATAGTGATAACCTAAAAAATCATCAAATATTAAAGGCATCTCCGACAAGAATGTTTTGAAACATATGGACCAAGTCAAAGGGTATTACTCAGAAAATGTATTGGTCTATCGAAATCAAACTATTTACTTCAATATCATAGATATACATTTCCAATGACGAGGGAGGACTTGGAAATTGACTCAAATAGTTTGAAGCATTTTGACCTTCAGTCCCAAAAGAATTCCAATACGCAATATCATCAGGTCTGTCCATTAAGCAACAAGTTGATGTTAAACTTAACAGCTTCCATTAATAATTAATCATGTAAAGTAACGACATATCAACTCAAGTAGCAAAAGTTAACAACTATAATGGACACTTATTCAGATAATTTTAAAACTAACAATAGACAATAATATAACCCATTATAGTTCCACCTACAATGTTCCAGTCTAGCCTCTGTTTCAAGTGACTAGATCAGTAAGATCTAGAAATCTGTAGCTTCTATGTAATGGGTCATATCGTCGTTGTTTTAAGGACTGATTCGCCATCCGTTGAACCAATCGTATCTTAAGTATTAGCAACGTGAATTATTTAGACAAGCTGATCAGAGTGTTCACAGCTTATTGTCGAAATTTGATATTCCATGGTTATGTAAAAAAAAATCACATATTTTCAACTGTTCGATTTACTTATGTTTCATGTTTCTCTTTTTGATTGATTGCATTGTATTTTCATAACCTTAAGGTGACCACCAATTTCGACAAAAATGCCATAATTGCAGTAAACTGGCAAAGACAATCCAGCATACCCATTAATTTTATGACTATATGCATTAATCAATTTCAAGATTATTGGTTCAAATTCAATAGAACTATTTAGATTTCAGTAACTGGTGCATACTAAAAGATAGCTTGCCAGGCAAGATAACATACACCCACTACCAGCTGTAAAAAATGATAAAAAAATCCTTTGTGGCTTTATAATGAATTTCCAAGTAAAATCATCTAAAAGTCAAGGCAAAAACCCAAACAGATCATTAAATTATCATTAAATTCAAACAATTCCTCATCGCTGTACACACAGAGGCAATAACTCTGAAACCATTCATCGGATTATTACCAATTTCGAACTTGACTGAGATCCCATCAATTTAAATGCATACCAAGTTTCATCAAGATCAGATAAAAACTGATAGAGACTGATATAGACTTATCGCGTCTACAAGCCAAATTTGAAGCGTTTTTACTTAGTCAAGGGAAATAACTCTTAAACCGTTCATCTGGGTATTACCAATTTCGAACTTGACCGAGATCTCATGAATATATACATGCATACCAAATTTCATGAAGATCGATAAAAACTTTAGCCTCTATCGCGCCCAAATGTGAACGGACGGACGGACCGACCGACCGACAGGGGCGACGGCAATAAACGTCCATTTCCATGTGGGCGTATAAAAAAAAAAGTAAAATGCAGTGGTCATTCTGGTCCAACAAAATATGTGGCCATGGACGGATATTCCGGTAGGTTTTAAGTCTTGAAACAACGAAGACATATGTTTTAAATAGGATTTTCAAAATTAATTTTAATGACTTTTTCTTCGATTGAGAGCATTTTTCATAATAATGGTTCTTTTCTATTTTGATAATTAAAACGATAATAGTTTTTGAAAGGTAATAAAACACAGATTAAAAAAAAAGTTCATATACATGTACTCTAAATCGTTCCAGTTTTTCAAAATGTAAAAAAATCAATCCTTTAATTCCAATCTAAATAAAAAGAAAAGAAAGAGTGGGAAAGATTCCAGGTATCGTGAATCGGAAAGAGATTAAATCGAGAACGCCGGTTTAGAGGGACCTCCAACACGTGGGAGAACGTTAATCAAGTGGAATCTCATGATTGGTCCGTCAATGGTACATAATCTATCATTAATTTCTACAATTCTCAGAATTATCTACAACTTGTATCCTAAACTTACTCTAGTCTTCGACCAGCTTTTTCAGATTGTGGAGTGTTGCTTCAAGAGTGCAACTATTTGATACACGTATAGGAAAGTAAGGCAAAGACCAAACAACGATGAAATCTTATTTAGTTCTTTCAGTATTTTCTTTGTTTTGTGGACAGGTTTTAGTCACAGTAATGGGAATCGAACAAAGAAGTTATGTAGAAAATTTATTTGACTGTCCAGTATGCGAGCCAGATGCATGTCCCAAACAAAACCGTTCAGATTTTGGTTGTTTTTTGGTTCGAGAACCTGGCATTTGCGGATGTTGTTTTGTGTGTGCTATTGATAAGGGGGCTCCATGTGGACTTTCTCGTGGACGATGTGCACCTGGTTTAAGGTGCAGACCACCAATAGATGATCCACATCCAATCAGATCCTTACTTTTAGGACAAGGTGTTTGTCTGTGATAAATGTAAGTATAATCAGTCCTTTTTCTAATACAAATTTTGGAAGTTAACTAATTTCATATCGTCAACAGTAGTTTTCAATAATTTCGAAGGCTGCTAAAATTTAACACCAATCTAATGAAATATCATTTGAAACAGCAGCTATGAGGTATTACAACAGAGAACTTATTCTTTATTGGGAATTTCGTAATTGGCTTAAATTGTTTTCCATATAGTATCGTCTTATTTATAATAACAGAAAACACTTTTTGCTATCAAATTATATGAACCTTTTTGTCACTTAAATGAATTAAACCGTTATCAATTTGTCAAGGCATTAGGAAATCCACAAATTGTGGTTTTACCAGAAAGAGAGCGATTTAACCAAAATTGATATTAAACAATATTAAAACCAGTTGATCTGCATGTGATTTTCGCTTTAGAGCAGATAAATATGATTTTCAGGTGGTTCCAAATTTGAAGAAAAAACACCACTTTGAGGATAGCCATTGCCTTCGCCTATATCAGTTAATGGCCATATTGGCTTGTGAACTCAATAGAGGCCACAGGTTTTGATCAAATTTTGTGTGTAAATTTATATTCACAAGATCTTGTACAATATCGATTTGGTATGATTTGACAAATATTAACGGATTTTCATTCAAACTTAATGGATAAGCTATTGTGAAATTATGTTAAAATTGGCTTGTGCGCGAGAAAGGTAACAATTTGTGTCAAAATTTGGTGTCCACAAACTCCGGACAAATCATAATTTGGGTGTGATTCAACACATTGACGGTGAAAGCAACATTTGTGATGAAAAAAGACACAGGTTCGCCATCCGTTTGACCAATCAAATTTTAAGCCTTCAAATCCATGTTTGTCCAGAATTATCCGCTATTGAATGTTAAACTCGTCTTTTCTAGAGATTCTGCCCAATATTGAAAAACATACAGAAATAGACAGTGAAATTTCTAGTTTGGGGTATATTTGAACTGATTATGCGGTTTTCGTGCAGTTCTATATAGTAGCCTATTTCTTAAGACCTTTTACAGATGCACGACCCAAATCAACCCCGCAAATAACTAACTATAGATGTAGAGGGTCACTTACACTTTTATTTTCTCCATTCCGATTTCTCGTCTCACTACTGTGGTTCCTAGAATCTAGAATGTTACTATAGAGTATGCTACTTCTGAATTAAAATACTTAAGTCATTTGATACTCTGGTGGGCAATGATCAAATAATTTACATATACCCCAATTTCTCGAAAAATTAACCACCATGTACTTATGTTGTATACAAGCAATACAAAATGAAATATTTCAACAACTGCTTGGGCTGATGAATAAGGGAAACGGGTGATGCTTTCCAGTGTGCAATAAGGGAAATTATACCAGGTCAATGACAGAAGACTTTTTTTGATACGAAACACTGTCGAGGGATCTTTAACGTAAGGGCTTGTAGCACTCGGGACAACGGTTTATAGTCCTATACGAACGAGTCGGTATTTCCTATGTCCGGCATATATCACTGCATGGGGAAAAAGGGAATATTTCAACCAAACATCTCGTATGTACTGTTAAACCATTATCACAAATAAAATCGCTCCACTTAATATAGGGTGTCAAAATAATAAAGTTAGGTTGAATGATTGTCAGTAATTGTAAAATTACTTAAAATATCCGACCATCTGCTGCGTCCTTAATTATTATTATTATAAATAGAAAACCGAAATAGATCGGTGTGTGTAAAAAGTGATACAACGTGAATTTTGTTTTTAATTATAATATCTCTTCTTGTATGGTTTCACGGAAACAATTTTTGTTTCGTTATCAACAAAAATGAAATTAAATCACAGGAATCGGAAGTTGAGAGTAAAATCGCAAATTGTCAAGAGAATTACGACCAGTTCAATCTTGAGATTGACACGTGAGAGTTAAAAAAAAAATCCATATGGAAAAATAAATGCTATATTTGGATAGCACTTATAAACTTTCAATTTTTTTTTCATTTTGATCTAACCCTTTTTTTTTCTTTTACTCAGACATGAAAATGTGGAAGTATATATTGTCGTCCAATTTGTTCGTCCATCAATATTTCTTGTGAAAAGAATTTGATGTGATCATTTAGAGATCGATAATGATATTAAATTTTCATTTTCGACGGTTTTGGAGTTATTGCCCTTGATTTGGAAAAAACGCGTCAAAATTAACACAATGGAGCTATTAATATAATAATCAGATGAGTGGTTTTAGGCCTATAGTTATTGTCAAAATATAAACACGTCGAATTTGGATTGTGGACACGATAGAGACTATAGTTTTTATCTTCTATCGACGAAACTTTGTATGTATGTATATATTGATAATATATCAGTAAAGTTCGAATTTGGTATTAAGGATGAATGGTTTTCTAGTTATTGCTCATGCGTCAAATTTTGATTGTGGACACGATATACGTTACAGTTATATAGGTCCATATTGATAATCAAGTTTGAATTGACAATTTGGTATGAAATATATGCTAGTGGCAACAAATAATAGATCTGGTGTGTAATTGATGTGACCGTGTTCATTTCAAATTGGATGATAATTGTGTGTATCGGGGACACTAAAAGCATCAATTTGCACCATTCCAATTTTCATTCCGACATCTGTGGTTCTTGCAATTCTACTAAAACTAACGCGTTTTATGACATCACCAGTGGGAACTACATAGATCAATAGTAGCTTCCGGTAGCTCCCCTTTAGTGACGTCATAAATTTTAGTGGAACTGCAAAAAACACAGATGTCGATATGAACATTGGAATGGTGCAAATTCAAGCTACCAGTGTCCCCGATACACATAAAAACTTTAGAAAGCCTCTTTACAATCCCTGTAAGACATGTCATTTTTGTTCAGCACGAATCAATTGTTTGCTTCAAGTGTAAGCTTCAGGGTCCACTTGCACAATATCATACTTAACAGGCAATATACTGAATATATTCTAATAATAAACTTATGTTCACAATTCGACACGTACAAGTTGTCTCCAACAACGGACTCTATTTCCGTCAAGTGCTATCAAATAACAAAAGCTTTTTGTGCCTGACGAAATATTAGAAATATACAAGTATTTTAAAGTTTTTATATAAAAAATATTTGTTGAATGAGAAATCCGATAGGAATATAATTTGTGAAGATATAAACGAACGAACATGTGTCTTCATGAAGAAAGCGTGTTAAAAGTGAAAACTTATAAATACTTTGATAAAACGTGACGTAATCAATGTAAAGAATTGGTATAATCAATTTTAGAAATTAATTTGCGTCATAATCATTTTTCTCCATCAGCAATATTGTTGTTTTTAAACCAAGTTTGATTGATACTGGCAATAAGTTGATAGCAAAAGAGAATTTTGTGCGATGTGTCTATGTTCAACAAGGACTGTTAATACTATTAATTACTTTTCAAGCCTACTTTAAATGAAAACCCATTTAAATATATTTTTGAGCTAAGCGCAATAAAAGTGCTAGTCAAGTTGTCTTGATTGAATCGATCTTTGTCGTTTAATTTTGACCGAGATACTTGATATTCCGAAGATGACACATTAAGCTGGAATTCGAAATGCTAATTTCAAGCCATAAAATTTTCTATTCTTACACTTCAATTGATAACCTTTTAAAACCTGATGATAAAACATTGGACGGAATGCGTAGGCGGAAAAGGATCTGGCCTACTGACATTTCTTATAAAATGGCATATGAAATTGAAACGGTGTTGAAATTAAATACGGGGATGAGACAGTGTCAATCAAGAAGTGAACCATATATAATTGTTATTCCGATCTGAAAGTGATTTTCCAGTTGAAAAACTTTTCAACATTTACACTATGTCAAACCCATAATCCTTAGACCACTCACTTAATTTCTCAAGAATAAAAAGCATATTTCATCACGGCTTTTCTGTGATATGACAATCAAGATTAAAGTTTATGGAAATCTTAAATTAATACTTTCCACATCTGAGATCACAAGATAAATTCAATTTTTGAAAATTTCAGCTATTAGAAAAATATTTTCATTTTTCATTTCATTATCCTTTCATCAAATAATCGTCAATTTGGAACTTCACCAAGATCTCACTGTAATAGATGATTACACCAAATTTCATGAGAACTGTAGTCTGTATGGTGCTCACTTACAAATTGTGGTGCTTTTTTTAGTCAAGGGCAATAACTAAAAAACCGTTCATCGAAAAGTCGCCAAATTCAAAGTTAAATAATCACATAAAATTTCCTTAAAATCAAATAAAAACCGCAGTCTCTATTTCTCTATTGTGTTCACAGGAAACTTTGACGGACGGGTTGACCAACGGACCATTTCCTACACTTAGTTTTAGTGGACTTGCAGGAACCACAGAAGTCTGACCAAAAAATTAGAGTGGTGCAAATCGAATCAGTGTCCCGAAAATTTAGAAAACCTTTAAAATTGTTAATTATCACACAAGGTTGAACTCCTCTAAAATAACTAATAATATATGGCTACACGACTAATATAGACTGCGTTGATCGAGGTGTGATTTTGTGCTTTAGAACACCCGTGACATTAAGTTCGAGATTCAGTGCAAAGTCTTCATATTTCTTACTGTCATTGGGCGTATGTTACCTTGCCTGCCGTGCTATTTATTACATTTTTTGCCATTAAAGGGACAGATGCGGAATTCCGGGAGCAAATCATACGTTGGTCTTAGAAACATGAATAGTTATGCTAAACTATCAGTAACAATGTTTACAGCTTACTGTAAAAATTTGAGCTTTCAAATCTAGGTGTATCCATAATTAACTATGTTTAAAAGGTTTTTTAGCGAGTCGTCATCCTGCCCCACTCCCACTGTCCTGTCCCGGAAGATGACTTGGTGTCAGAGACTATATCAATAAGACAGTCAACTTTCGGATACCCAAAATTTTAGAGAGGAGATAAGCTTGTGAACGAAATAAATAATAAGTTAAATTTCTTATTTGGGTTTATTTGAAT